CCCTTGAAAACTGTCAGGTAAACTTTTTAATCCTTATTACAGTAAATACTAGTAGGCCTATTGTGTGTGTATTATTATGAAGTACATCGCATACATATTCTTCTTTCCATGAATCGATGAACCACAAAGAGAAAGGGACCCCACCAAAAAAAAAAAAAATATAAAAAAAATCTACCAATGTGAATTGTAAGAAATAACTCGGTCGGGGACTGCATAAACACTCTCTACACTCTCTTTCCCCTCCCTCTCCTCCTTCTTCCCTCTTTCTTTTCTTGCATTTCTTTCCGATCAACAACAATCTCCATATAGACATTATATATTTTCAGCCACAAAGTGGGGAGGGGCGCCTGCCCCTCCCCACTTTGTAGCACACACTTTGTAGTACATACTCCTAGCGTGACCACAGGGGAAAATCAAAATTCCCAAGATTGAGTCCAAAAAATCCCAAGATTGCTTCTAAAAACCCAAGATCCGCAAAATATTATATATACATAAATTTCATTTAAAGTCCTTCATTTTAACGCCTTTTCAATTAATTATACTGTACAGTATTTTGTACTGTATAGGCCTAACGAAGGGTCTGGATTTTCGAGACCAGAAATTCGTTCGCTTTGGGGCGGAGGCAGATTCTAGGGTGTGTGGGGCCCAGTGGCGTACCTAGGAGTCTTGAAGTGGGGGTGTTGATGGGGAGGCCGTGAAGGTGAAGCAGGGGGTTCGATGATCGGTTGAGGGGGCGCTAACTTGCAAAATAAGGTGTGATATTAGGTGCTTTTTAATTGACCCTGATTTGGTGGGGTGGGGGGCGAGCAATATTTCGAGGGGCATACTATTAGAAGGCCTACACTCTGCGTGCGTGGAAAATCCTCCTCTGGCATTGTATTAGGCCAAGAGTTTGAAGTTTGTGCGCAATTTCACCCATTCGATATACTTCACATACAGTACTTCACACACATTAGGCCTATAGGTCTACAATATTATATAAAAGGGCGTAATCGATCTTTACAGAGTGTCTAATTAATCTGTTTATACCAGGGGCCTACACTATTGCATGGGAGTATTTAACAATAAGACAAAATGGGGAAAACACTTTCCTTTTAAATTTACATAAGCGAGTGTGTACGAAACCTGGTATATGGCAACTATAATTTGAATTTGAAGTGCAGAGATACAGACCATTAAAAACTGTCTAAAATTATATTCAAAGATATTATACAGCTAACCACTAATGTTTGTTTTGCATACATGTCTATTACACACCGTCACTCACAAATGTAAAAATGGGTAGTAAAATTTGATAAGTTGACCATTAAAATCTATTGTCAGGGGCGGATCCAGAAATGTCCAAAAGGGGGGCCGGAAGGGGGGCCGAAAGTTGGGCCGATTGAGACAACACTGTCGTAGGGGGTCCGGGGGCATGCCCCCGCGAAATTTTTGTGTTCTAGACGCTATACTTCACATACAGTACTTCACACACATTAGGCCTATAGGTCTACAATATTATATAAAAGGGCGTAATCGATCTTTACAGAGTGTCTAATTAATCTGTTTATACCAGGGGCCTACACTATTGCATGGGCCGGGCCGCCTTCCCCCCCTAAATCCGCCCCTGATTGTTACATTTATTTGAATTCGTACACTGATTTTGTTTCAAGTTGTTTGTTTTCAATATTATAGCTGTTTCATTACAATGACAATGTTTCAAAATCGTACTATATAACACCCCCAAATTTGTTGTATGGGCGAGCAACAGAAGGCTCTGAATTTTTACAAGTTGACCAAGTGTTGCTGCATCATTATTGTTCAGTTACGATCACTTTTCAGGCAGAGAGCAGCAGGCTGATGATTTGTTTTTCCCACAGCTATTTAGATGTCGTTGTTGGTAAAACTTTTTTTATTGTGAGTGTATAAAGATTCTTTAGTGTATATAGATAAGAATTATAGATAAATAATGCACATAAAATCAATTGTCGATGGAGAACGGCGTCAGTCATGACTAGTCCCATATTAATAGTACCGATACTACCGCGAAATTGACAGTGACTCATCTAATTCTTATATAATCACTTTAACATTTTAATCGAAATAGGTTCACCGTATCGTAATGATTTCAAATAACGCCAATACACTCTATTGCACAAGGTACGTCTAAAAACAAATAATAGTAGGCCTATATTATAAGTAAAAATAGACGATAATTACCAACCACTCACACTTTTCGTTTGACATTTAGGCGTATGTATCCAACTGTTTTTGGAAGGGTTGTTATAATTTTGTATTTTGCAAAATTGAGGACAATATGCTAATTATTTGATGTGATCACGCTGGCATGAGTTGGAAATTTCTTACTAGTTATGAATTCTTAAGGTCAGAAGATAATCGTTTGGTATATGACTATAAGAAAGGCAACTATAATAATACGCGGAAGGAATTTTATGAAACAAACTGGAACGAAGAGTTAAAAGATGTAAATTGCATTTAATCATGGTCTTTCTTTAAAGATGTTTATAACAAATCGGGAAAATTTAATATACCAAAAAAGGGAATTAAATCAAAAAGTTTCCGTCCAGTTTGGATGAGAGCCGGTGTCAAAAAAGCTGTTAGGAAAAAACATCAGCTGTTGTAAGAAATATAAAAATACTCAACTATACAGGGATTACCGGAAGTATAAATGTCAAAGCAATTTGGTCAAGAAGAAAATGAGACGAGCACAGGCTAAGTTTGAAAAAAGGCTTATTAAAAACTTAAAAAAGCAAACTAAAGCCTTTTATAGTTATGTTAGGTCCCAGCAGAATATTAGACCTACAATTCCAACACTTGAAAAAGAGGATGGGAACCTGACTGCAAAATGATACCGAAACAGCTGATGTTTTGAATTCCTTCTTTCAAAGTGCATTTATTCTTAGAGCCTGAGGGAGAACCACCTGAGCTACTTCGTCGGAATGAGAATATTATTGATATTACGGAATTAAATTTTTATATTGGTGATGTGTATGCAGCACTAAAAAGGTTAAAGGTAGACCAAGGCTGCCGGTGTAGATGGAGTACACCCATATGTGTTATACGAATGTGCAGAGGAGTTAGCTCTACCATTGTTTATAATTTTTACAAAATCAATCGGCGAAGGTCAAGTTCCAGGACTGGAAGCGTTCTCGTGTGTGCCCAATCTACAAGAAGGTAAGGAAAATCAAGCTCAAAACTATCGGCCAATAAGTATTACATCAGTACCTTGCAGAATTTTAGAAGGCCTAATTCGAGATAATATAGTAGATCACCTAAATCAGTACAATCTTATCAGCTCTCACCAACATGGTTTTGTTAAGGGCCGATCATGTCTCACTAATTTGTTGTCCTCCCTAGAAGAAATAACGACTGCTTTAGACAGAGGATACAATGTCGACATTGTATATTTGGATTATGCTAAAGCATTCGATAGTGTGCCACACAAGAGTTATTGCAAAAGTTAAAGGCTTATGGTATAGGTGGTATGGTGGTAAATTGGATTAGTCAGTACTTAAAGGACAGACAACAGCATGTTGCAGTAAGAGAAGCGAAGTCACGGTGGCTAAAGGTCCACAGCGGTGTACCGCAAGGTTCAGTTATTGGTCCAATACTATTTTTGATTTACATCAACGATCTGTTAGATGATGTATCCTCATTTGGGCTTATATTCGCTGATGATACGAAATTGATTGAGTCCTTTAAGCCAAATGAACGACAAATAATCTGCAAGAAGATTTCAACAAGATACCGGAGTGGTCTGAAAGGTGGCTACTTAAATTTAATATTGACAAGTGCAAAATTCTCAACATGAGAAGTTTTAATCCTGGCTTTTGAGTACATATTGGGAGGACACAATATACAGAAGGCTAAAGACGAGAAAGATTTAGAAGTATGGATGACTGACGATTGTAAAGCATCGGTGCAATGTTCTAAGGTAGCTGTCAAAGCCATGAATCAACTCAGATTGATCAAAAGAACCTTTGAGTTTATCGATTGCGAAGCCTTCCATATATTGTTTAGATCATACATCAGACCTCATCTTGAATACTGCGTGCAAGTTTGAAAAAAGATATTCAAAAATTAGAGAAAGTACAGAGACGAGCTACCAAGTAAATGAATAGTATTCAATCAGATCCATATGAAACAAGACTAATGAAACTGAATCTGTATCCGTTAGCAGTTAGAAGATTAAGAGGTGACCTTATTGAAGCATTCAGAATTATTACAAATAAAGAGAATATTGACAGCTCCACTTTTTTTTCATCTAACCCTGCTAGCATTACTCGTGGCCACAAATACAAGGTGTATAAGCCATCTATGAACAAAGGTCTAGAAATCAGGAAGAACTTCTTCAGCTACAGGATCATTAAGCATACAACATCAGTAACTATATTTAAAAAGCCACTGGACCAACACTGGTTGAACAAGGATGCTGAGACCATATTGGGCAGTATGGCATAAATGACTGTGGGTCTCAAGAGGCTGAATAGCCTATTCAATTATACCCACACCCAAATAAGTGTAAGTGTAAGTGTATTTTGGTGATATTTTGTTTCTCATCCGTATAAATTTGTTTACTTTTAATTTTAACAAACTTTAATTTTGTTTTCATAGAAAGGGAGTCCATTATTGCTTAGGATCTCATACGTTATCAGAACTCAAAATTTCCCACGCTAGGCCTATACTATAAAGTGATAATTTAATGCGCAACTCGCCCATGTTATGCGGCGCCAGCGGGGTTCCCCCGTCGGACTCTCCAGCCCCAAAAGGGATTTTCACCCTGACCAGGGCTCTCAGTAGTCGCCTTTTGGTTCGCCCCCACCCCATTGGACTTCTTTGACCCAGGCATGTTGGCAAACAGGAGCAACCACTGACCGGACCACGTCGTCGGTGACGACGCCTGAGCCACTCTTACGCTTTTGTCAGGATAAATTGTGTCTACGTCGGGGACATCAGCCCCTGCCAGTGGTGGCGGCAGGATTTGCCCCACTGGGGGTCCGAGGTCTCTGACGGGGGCGATTTCCCCAACGAAAAAAAGTGGGCGTGGTCGGGTGTCTCTCAAAAGTGTTCTATTGGGGTGAAAATATGACAATTTAGGAGTTTTAAAGGCAATTATTTAAGCGATTTTGGGTCTACTAATACAACGTTCAGCGGCCCAAACAGCAAATGTTTGGGCCGCGAAAAAAAAATTGGTGGGTCGCATAATCTCATCAGATCGTGAAAATAATATTTACTTAACACGAACGAAGATAAACTAAATTAAATTACATTAAACGAAAGTGCAATTTAAGTGTGACAATTGCGTCAGTTTACTTTTTAAAGTTTTATATTAAAAATATACTATCAAAACATTTGTAACTCAGATATGACAACATTAAAGTATTAGTTTTGTTCATTTCAATGTGTTAGGCTTTAAGCTGCAAATGAAAATGAGAAAACATTTTAAAATTTAATGTGTCTATGTCTCCGCATAACCCATAAATCTCTGGCAGCACTAGGAATTTATAATAAAAGGTCTGTTAATCATTAATTTTTAAAAGTATTTAACTTATTGAAAAAAAAAAATGATTGCTTAGGTGATATTGTTAAATGAGTAATTCAAAGTTATATTTTCATTTTTAGGGGTTTTACATAGTGATATTATGGGTGATAATATAATATTTTAACCAATTCACTGAAAAATCAAGGAGGTGTTATTCCCGCTATCCCTCACACGTATAAAACGACGGACGTTTTATTGACTTTGAGTTCGATGGGTCGCGTCAGAGAAATAGGCCTATAGACAATAATTTGGGCCGTGGGCTAAAAAGGTTGGGGAACGGGGTACTAATAGGCCCTAGGCGCTATGTAGAAAATACATATACATTTGGGTTTTTTTCAAGAGGAATCGTGGTTTTTCTTCCCGACGGGGTGTTCATATATATATATATATATACGGGGTGTTCATTCATATTTTTTGTCCATTTCCCTATAGCATCGCACACTAGACAAAATAATAAAAAATTGTGTTGGCCACGGCCCGAATTTACGAAATTGAGGTTTAGTGTTTTAGGCCTATCTTGAAACATGTTGTGTTTTAATCTGTTTGTATTTATTAAATGCATTGCAGCATTTCTACAATTATTTTTTGGCTTAAAAAATGTAATAGCGAATAATGATGCAAACATTCAATGATGTACCGGTATTGTCTAGTGACGTGACAAAAAATTAAAAAAATAATAATGATTTTGAAATTAACTTAACATTTGCAGTAACTTACGGTACAACTAATTAACTTAAACACAAAAATGTTTACCCTATTTTGATTCTGGATATAATAAAAAATAATAAAACATTCTCAGTGCCTGGGAGTGTTTCTATATTTTTTTTGCAGTAAAATTATAGTTAAATATATTTTTTTTTAATATACTCATTTCTAAGGTAAAGTTAAGAATTTGTACGGTACGTTACTTCAAAATGGGCCTATATTTAATATAATTAATGTGATACAATTCCGTTTTTGCATTACAATTTTTGAAAATGTCTTTAGCTACAATAGGCTAAAATCTGAATTGAGAATGCATGTAACGCATTTTGATGATGAGTTACTGAAATATATTTTTAACTTTTTAAAATGTGAGGATTTTAGATTGTCGTAGGTTACAACGTGACATTTTGCTGTGAATACAAGGCTGATGATAGTAGGCCTACACTAGAATCTTGGCCAATAGATATTGATGGTTTCTGTAAATTATCTCCGGTAACCTTAAGGAAACGACAGATCACTTTTTATATGACTGTGAAAGACTCCGTCCCATTAGAGAATATGTTTTTAAGAATTGAAAAGATGACCTCTTTGATTGGTGTTTTGGCCATTTTTGGGAATCATTTAAAATGCATCTGCTGAGTATAAACAGCATCTATTTGTAGACAATCCTTTTGGTCAACTTGAGTCTCATAAAATAGGATCAATTTTTGACAATTACTGTAAAACCTATCTCATGGAAGCTTGGAAAGTTAGACAAAGTATATATAAATCTACGAATACAGCACCAACCATAATCAATGTAAACCGAAATTCTCAAAACCATATTTTTTATATTTTAACTACTGTATATTACC